TAGGACAAACTCATCTTAATTGGACTTCCATTGATTTCGGTGGGAACTAGGTACAACCCTAAAAAGACTAACAATGAGTTAATTCAAGAACATAAAAATAGTTGACAGTAACAGTTGTGAGAACTTTCATTTTCTGTTAACTTACAGGAAATCCCCTTGAGTAACCAGCTATGCTCTTCCAATTAAGGAAGTACTTTTCCCCTAAGGCATGAAAATGGCTTGACTTCATTTAAAAGGGGTGTGCAGAACAGTCCCTGTGCCTTATCTCCGGCCTCTGAGCAGAAAGACGACAGTCTCCTGGCTTCCTGCGTGTGCTGCAAACAGGCTATTTAAAAGTCCCGTTGGTTCCAGAGGTGGCTATTTAAAAGCTGAATTGCGGAAAGGAAGGTTTCAAGAGAGAGGGGCTGTAGGTGGGGGGGGGGTGGCTGACCCCATTCTTCCCAACCTTGTGACCCCTCAGAAAATTTCCTCTTTCATATTACAATTTGGCTTTTTAAAAGCCTGTTTACAGTAGGGAGGAACAATATGCAAACCCGTGATTGTGCTCAGACAAACAATATTGCACATGCAAGGGTTTATTATAGGTTATGTGCAGTTTATCCTTTTCTTTCAACCCCATTGGGATAATGGAACATGGTAAATAACTCACAGTTCACAACCCAAGAATACATCATTGGTTCTCTTCATTTGTTGTTTGTGGTGAACAAACCATGGCTTGTTAGTGCAGTTGAATCCTGACAGCACAATAGCCCAGGTATCAACATCAAAGCATTGCTCAGCCACAGCCCCCTCTCAATGCATACCCAACCCTTGACTGTGGGTTATTCTGTTGCCTGAACCCAAGCTGTGTGTATGTGGGAGCTTGTGAGTGAGTAGGCATATGGTGCCTACTCACCAGGATTGGAATGTTCCCACCCACTTTTGGATGATCCCTCACATGCTTAAGTATAAGTAACTTGGACCTTGGGACAAGAACAGTTTCCCATTCTGACTCAGAGCATCATTTGTAATAAATCCCAGATGTATGTGTTTATTTCAGGGATTTCCTGTAATTCAAATAAAGTTGAGGAAAGCATAACCTTTAGAGTATGTAGAGATAACGGGATTATCGCAGGGGTGGCCTTCCTTGCCTGTCCACCTGCCCTTAGCTTCACCTCATCCCATATCATAGAATCATAGAATAGTAGAGTTGGAAGGGGTCATGAAGGCCATTGAGTTCAACCCCTGCTGTTGCAGGACACCACGTTACCCCATTCCACTCAGTTTCTTTTTGAATGTCTCTCTAGGCAGCTGGCTCCACTGTTGTTTTGCTCTGACAGAGAAGAAGCTTTATCTGATGTCCAGACTGAATCTGGATTGTCACAACCTGAAATGATTATTCCGTGTCCTACACTCTGGCATCAACAAG